ATGCTTCAAGAACAAATTGTTTAGTCTCACAGGAGAAGGTATTCTTCAGAGGGGCCAAATTATGAAATGATTAGCAAAATAAATCACCGTCTTTGCCTTATCAGCGCTGTCAAGAATAATAATTTATTTTGATTCACGGGGAATGAGAATCCCAAGCCAAATGCAGATTGCAAAAGCCTTCGTTAAGAATATTTATTGCCGTTACGAGATCATGTGTGACGGACTGTCACTGGAAATTCCTTATGGTTTGGAGCGTTGCCTGAGATGTTTTTCTCTGACGATTTTGTTCTTGATAAATGCCTCAGGGGGTGGGGAGTGGGGGGGAGTCGGATGGTTAAAAAAAACAAAACAAAAAAAACAACAACCGTGGAGGTCTTTCGATATGTGCCGCTTTGTTTCAAAGTATGATTGATGGTGGTGTAGTAACTATTGTGGGAGTGGGAATGATCCCTGGAGTCAAGGCCTTGACACAGTCAGCTTTTTTTTGAGGGGTGCGGGGGGTTGTATGCATTGGAAGACTGAATTCTGACAACAACATTCCAGCTACAAGGTCTGGCTTGCCATAAACGACCAGCATGCAACCGAGGGTCCAATGGTTTCAGGGCATCGGCAAGAAAAAAAAAAAGAAAAAAAAATGCTGATGATGTACATTTATCATCATGCGGTGTAATAAAGAAAGTTGGCGGCGTTAGCGATGTTACACAATACTTGGTCTGGCACACATTTTTTTTTGGATAATTTGATTGACTGTAAAATTTTAATGTATACATTTAGCCAAATGAACAGAACGACATATAATTTTAATGTATGCATATCGTTTAAAAAATCAAATCAAAAGTTTGTCCACTTTTTTTTTTTTGATAATTTGATTGACTGTAAAATTATAACGTATACATTGTAGCCAAATGAACAGCATGACATATAATTTCAATGTATGCATATCGTTTTAAAAATCAAAAGTTTGTCCACCCCTGCCCTAAAGGGACAAGGGGTAAAAAAATAAAATAAAATAATAATAATTCTTTTTTTTTTCCTGTCCATAGCTAATGCTCCCGTCATTTTTATCGCCAGCAGTTTATTTTTGTTATCTTGTTCAATAAAAAGTTGTTAAATCACTATTTAGAGACCGCGAATAAACAGGACTGACGTGCCCTCCCTGTCGGAGTTGACAACGCCGTCAATGTTTTTCGCAATTTAGGCACAGTCTGTCACTCCGAACCGTTTCACCCCGCCGCCACAAAGATAAAACGAGCGCACGTGTAAGTTTCATGTGAGCATGTGAAACAAATTTAAAGGCTAAGTATTAATTTAACACGTTTATTATTGTGGTGGTTATCTGCGGCGGGGTGGAACTGGAAGCAGCTGTTCCTCATATTTTTATTTTTTTTTTTGGACTCTCTCATGTCCTCGCTAACCGAGGTAACCCCAAGTATTGACACGGCAGGACTGCTCTACGCCACTGCAAACTATAACCACAAGAACAATAAAAATAAATAATTCGGCAAAGTCGATCTGTCTGCTTTCACGGCTTTTAAAAAGTTATAAAATAATAATCGCATTTCATAATCAACAAGTTTCCTGACGGAACATCAGCCATACTTTTACATTTGTTTTCGTGTCAATGCGAGACTGTCATTCCATTGTTTTTCATGCGGTCCCTTGTGCGCATTTTCTTGTGAGGCACATGTGCTTGACTATACAACTGCTGTCAGATTTTTCTTGCGAGTCACAACACAAAGCAGATGGGTTCTTTGTAGGGAAACGGGGGGGGCAGTACCCAACAGGACCTTTAATTCATGTTGCTGAGCCATGGAAATATTGTCATGGTACGTTTAACATGATCAAATACATCATCTTTTTTTTTGGGGGGGGGGGCGGGGTGATTCAAAACAAATGCACAGGTTTCAGTGCTGGACAAGAAGTTCCCCTTCTCCATTGAATGTAAGAAAAACAAACCTACTGTGATGATCCAAATTGTACACACAAAGGAAGATATTGTTGAAGCACTCAGGTTATTGCATATACGTTGACGTTCATATTCTGCGATCTTTGGTGCTGCTGTTCACTTTCATAATGTCAAACTAGATTTTGCCCCTTTGAGTCTGTTTAGTTCGAAGAATAAGAATAAGAAAATCTTTATTCGTCTCACGATGGAGAAATTCCCAATTTATAGCAGCAAAGTTATGAAAGGAAGAAAGTAGAAGAACAAAAAGTATAGGAGTTGCTGTAAAGGCAGCCACTCTCGCGGCGCCATCTTGAAGTGATAATAACATAATAAGAAAATAATATAACAAATTCTGTACGACACTAACTATGGAGCCGATGCTTTTTATCTCCAGGATTAGGAAAAAACTACTTAACCCAGTAGCGGATGGGTGGGGCGTGATTCCGATCTTTTTGTAGAATACAAATGGCTGCTGACGCAGTTTGGGCTATTTTGGCTGTTTTGGGGGTAGGCGGAAGCCGAGACCGGACTCTTCTACGCTTTAAGAATTGCACTGGAGACAGTAACCACAAGTGCACACATGTCTGGGGGGGAGGAGGGGATGTTCCTCTTTTTTTTTGTGTCCTTCATTCGACGCCCATTGACCCACAGGCTACGCGTGGCCGGCTGCCAGAGGCGTCACTCAAGAGTTCAACCAAAAACGGATGCGGATGTCTTCATTAAGGCTGTCATGGCAGCTCAGAGGCCTTTCAACGCACAGAGGTCTTCATCCGAGCGCAGGTGTGGCTTGGGTCGGAGCCAATCCGCCAGATGAGGAGATGACAAAAGTGCTTGAGTTCATGTCAACACAGGACAGAGCGCTTCATTCGAAGTCTTCACTGTTGTCGGTCCATAGACATAAAAAAGCCTTTTTACATCCTGGAATTACCCTGCAGGGATTCCGCCCCCTGAGAGGAGTTTTTTTTTTTTTTTTCCAAGACGATGAATTAAGGGAAAGCTCAATTTCAATTTAAGTACACAAGTCGATTCGTCTGCTTGTGGTCTTTGGTCACGAAATGAGGTCAAGTCAATTCATCTAAAATGATGAGATGAATATAAGATCCATCCATTTTCGAAAAACGCTTCCCCTCAACAGGTCAGCTGGAGTCTATCGCAGTTAACTTTGAGCGAGAGGCGGGGTAACAGCCCGGACAGCCAGCCGAGGCAGAATTTCGCCTTCACAGAACCTAACATGCATGTTTTGGAATGTGGGAGGAAGTCGGAGTACCTTTAGCACCGACGCACTCCAAACACGTCGGCTGAAGCGGGCTATGATGGACATACGTGCTTGCCGTATATGATCGGATTTTAAATATCTTCATCACTGTCATGACTTTAGGGAAAGACATCCCGCAGAGATTTTTTTTTTCTTTCGAAACTTTCTTGAATTCAAATGAGGTTATTGGTGACTCAAACTAGAGCTGGGCGATATGACGGTATACAGCAGTGGTGTCAAAGATACGGCCCGTGGGCCAGAACCGTCCCACAAGAAGGTTTGGTCAGGCCCGCGGGATAATTCAAAAGTGAAAAAATACATAAAACACAGAATTATTATTTTTAATATGCTGCAATTCATGGATCATCCGCTAGGGGAACACTGTTTTGATCAGAGTAGAAGACAACATTGTTTTGATCAGTCGCTAAAGAAAAGTTGATACTCGGATCGCTCGTGACACACAGCCTACGGAACAGTAAACCAGGGGAAGTGATAAACGGCCACGCAACGCAAACCTTACGCCGCAAAATGTAATCTAACAGTTCAACGAAAATGAACGAATAACAAGCAGATAACATGCAGAACTTGTTTTTCATAGAATCACTCCAAATATCTGCATTGTGTTAAATCACTACTGGGATATAAAACGGCCCATATCATGATAGGACTTATTATTTTTTTTTTTTCCATATCGCCCAGCACAAACTCAGAACCGGCATTTTCCCTCAGAGGACTTTGCAGTAAAAGTCTACAAATATTTGTTGAGGAAACAGAGAAAATTGGCTCTCATATTCCTTCTCCGCCCTGCACATGAGGCTACAGTGAGCTTGTTACATTCCTCACTCAGTCCCAGGGCACTGTAACTTTGTTGTGTTAGGAGCAAAACACTGTCACTGTTGCACTTCCACTCAGACATCCGCTTGGTGACTACACGGCAGACTGGCACTGTGCATTGTTGTCACACACGCGCGCACACACACACACCGTACAGAGAAATTCTATTTCTGTTTTAATGAAGGCACCATAATGTGCTTTGCTATTTGTTTGGAATGATAGTTTTGTTTTGCTTTTTTCAGAAAATTCCAAAAATAAATTCAAATATTCCTTCAGTTAAAGGGCTTATACATACAGGTGCATTAAATATTACAAAAGGCTGAAAATGATTGGGCGTAGACCTAAAAGTATGCGTGAAGAATGCATTGTGGGAGATGTACGCACAGTTGAAGATGCGATGATATCGTTTACACTTGTGTTGCAATCGGAAAAAAAAAAAAAAAAAAAGAGAGGGAGAAAGAAAATAAAAATCCCATCCAAAGATTAAAATGTCATCAGGCGATCCTTTCAATGATGACAGGAGCATTTTGTCTAAAAGAGAGCCAACTGAAGTCGTTAATGTGGGTGAAAAAAATACATATATTTATATTTTTTTGCTGGTAGAATCTCAAACCCTTTTTTGGTTAATTTTACAAAAAAATGTGACTCATTTGGGAAGTGATTCATTGCGTGGGATGAGTCGTCGAAAAAAATAAAATCCATTGAAACCGACAATAGCGGAGGGGGATTGGAATTTTTCTAGCAGTGTTTTGTCCGCATGTTTACAACACCTAATTAGCATCTTGGGGAATATCCTATTCTTTTTTTTGGCATAGGCAATAGCGGTTGACAGTTTGAAAGGTAGCATGCGGAGAGGCACCAAACATGTTTAGACACCCGAGCAGGATGTTTGGGACGTGTGTGGTTTTGCTTTTTTACATGCACTAAAACACGTTCTTCATAAACAGATTGATTAGCGCTTCTTACGTTCGTCTTCGGTCCATTGAGATTAAATGGGAGTCAGAGCCGGGCTGGATAAGAGCGATGATGTTTTTGTACTCTGTATCCTTCCTCACTGGCTCTCTGTCTGTTTTGGCGTCAAGCCTGGAAGCATCACCAACAACTCCATCTCAACTATTTGTCAGAAAAAAAACAATAGTAGAAACCAATCAGGCTCAATCATTTCCATACGTTTGGTCAATTAGCTTGAATTGGAATTCTTTTTTTTTTTTTTCCAAAGGTTGTGCTTTTTAAACCAGCACCTCGAATAAGACAATTCATGACAACTTTTTTTTTCTTCTTTTCATTAGCTTCATTCGAAAGGATCAGGTTTCCAGAATTGACAAAAAAATAAATAAATGCTTAGACAGTGTAATTTGTATACAAAGAGTTTGAAGTCTGACTGCAGGAAATGTATTGGGGAGTAAATGGAAATCTGGACATTTTACATACAGTATGCTTCATACACAATACAATCTGCTACATCGATCCATTTTTTCTTTTTTTTTTGTCAGCAGGAAGACTGAGAACAAGGCGAACACCTACGCAAGCAACCGTGAAGGTTCACATCCACACAAAGCGAGCCGGGATTTGAACCCGGAACCTCTGACTGTGAGGCAGACTGCTGACTTGATCTCGATTGAAATGCAGGACTAAGGTATTATAATATAGCTTCATTAAGGGCTACAAATGCACTTCAAACCAAGTATAAATGTTTATGCTATGCCATGGTACCTCCGGATAATTTTAAACAGATGTCATATCAACATGCGTTTGCGTTCAAAAAAAAAAAAAAAAAAAAGACAATTTGGACATGTGAGTTGATGCAGCAAGTAGAGTTTACGTACTGAATTTCATGGGAAACCTGCAAGTAGTAGTTAAGCTCTTCCCGAATCCACGATTTGGCTTGACAGAAAAGTACCTGGGTGGTCTTGCCCTGCATTATCTAAAATGCGGCATATATTTCCATCGCGGCAAAAAACTCGTGCAAATGAGGAATATAAGTTATAAATGATGTGCCATTGTTTCTCCGAATCAAATATTTACTGCGGATTCTTTCTCGGAACAGGTGGCTGATGTGAATCGTTTGTTTCATAAGGTCAGGGCTCATAACAAACTAAACATTTATCAGCTCCGACTGCGCTAAGGACCATCGCTGCACTCGGTCCACTCGGCAGATGAGACTTGTTTGTTCGAAAAGGGAAAATAAGTTTGAAGGCTGCGTGGCTGCTGTTACTGTGAGAATAAATCCACATTTTACTATGTGTGTGCTAATCAAATGAAACATTGTACAGTTGTGTGTGTGTGCGTGCGCGCTAGTCGGAGCTCTCAACAACAGCTTGGGTCCAGAAGGCCCCAGTGACACTCACGGTGCCAACACACCAATAACGCACTCACACACACTCACTCAGCTGTGAGGAGGGAGGGGGGGTTGACATCACCCCACCAATCACCCCGTGACTCATTCACAGAAAATCCGAATTTCCCTTCTCGTTCTCCAAGGTTCAAATGGTCTGCGATATCTTGCGGTGGGCCCTCAGTTAAGTGCGATGCAACACATCATGTCACTTTGAATGAAATCTATCCAACAGAGCTCTTGTTGTGCTCGTTACGGATGTGTGGGAGCTGTAGGCGACTTTGGGCAAACGGCGGCGCACACCCTGGAGTGGTCGGCAGCCCACTCACATTCACACCGACGGACAATTCAAAGTCACGGTTGTGTTTTTTGGCTAATGTGGGAGAACGCAAGTGGAGAAAAGACGAAAAGAAAATTCATGAGAGGAAGTTGAAGCCAAGATTGAAACCCCAAACGGTGAGGCGGATCCCACTGTCCTGCCCCAAGTGAAATCCATTTCGCAATATTTCGTTCTTTGCAGCACCTTAGTTGGAATGGAAAAGACATATGATTGCAGGTGCAGCGCTGTTACGTGTCCCTGTAATTTTTACTTTGGCACACTCTTCCAATTACGTGTAATAAAGTTACAACTTGGACCTGTGATCTTCGCTTTCTTTATTCCACGGCTTCAATTACAGTTATGTACTCTTAAGTATTTGGGAAGTTTCACTCTCCACCACGCATTTCTCTCCAGGTGTGAACTTCATTTCAAAGTCTCTTTGCCGTGCACACGCACGCGCCATAATGTCTTACTACACGGCGCCGGCGCACAGGCCGAGGGGCCCCCACGTGGAGAGGAAGCACTCATTTGGACTCAAAAGATGGCCCAAACATTTGGAAATGTGGCTGAGTGAACACGTTAGAGTTCGAAAAGCTTTGGATTTGTCATCTTTTTGTGGTTTTTATTTTGACTTTTGTTTTTCTTTTTAGATTGAGTTAATTTTGAGAGCAGGTTTGGGGTTTTTTTCCCCCCTAAAATGCTTCATTTTAGTTTTGTTTTTTTATTATATGGAGCATTTTTCAAGTGCAAAAATAACACAAAGGACTTTTCCGTTATATAGTTACTTTAAAAAACATAAGATGCAGTTTCAGTTTTTATTCGTATCATTTTTAAAGCGTTTTAACTTTTACAGTATTTCATTCATGAAAAACGTTTTTAAAATTGTCGTTAGTTTCCATTAACTGTCATAATCTTGGACCGCTTTAATCACATGAAGTGATTTGACACATTATTCCTTCATCCTTCATTTTATCTTTCATTTTTTCATGTGACACGGCCGCATATAAACTGACGGGTTCGCTCGTGTAATTTCTTTGCTCTCATCCGACCGTCCAGTCATTTGGAGTCGAGACAGTTTCATTGCGTCAAGTTCTTTCGGAGACACAAAAAAACTATTCAAATAAATTCCATCAAGGAGTGAATTCTTTTTTTTTTTTTTACTTTCATGGCATGTAATCCATGCACCCGCTGACTTGGATTATGCAACGCCGCAAAAGAAGAGAGTCGTAAATGTAAGCCACATGGAATTGGCAAAACTACAGAGGTGTTTCGTCTTCATCTGGCATGTAAAAAGATTTCAGTCCAGCATGCGGAGACGTTTTGTAAGTTATCAGCTTTACACAAAGTTGGAGTCGTCAGCTTTTGTTTCATCTCCGCGTTGGCAAGGCGATCTCTAATCCTCGAGTATGTGGCGTTTGTTAAGTGTTTCATGCTGAAGAGAACGGCCGGCCGGGTGTTTGTCGCATGAAGCTTCAGACAATGGTTTGAAAACTGGTGTGGATTTTTGAGAGTCACTTTTTTTTTTTCCACTCTACTCAGAATATCAATACATCGTTATTTTAATCGCGCTTTCAAAACAGCTGCAGTATACTACCACTACCACTACTACTAATAAAGAATTAGATCACACTTAATACGCCCCCCCGACCCATCCCCAGCCCACATGCAACGAATGAAGCTATCTTTTTTTGTGGTCGAGATTCTCCACAGCAGGAGCTATCCACCCATCCTAGACTGCAAATGAATGGCACGTGCATCAAGCCACAAGTGGCTAATTTAAACAGAGAAAGCGCAGAACAACTCGAATACAGACGCAAAAGATTTATTTGGGCGTTGAGTTTCACACTGGCAGGCACTCTCGAGACCTGATTTTAAAAAAGCCACTGTTTCTCATGTTTCCCCTCGAAAGTGGAAAAATGACACCATTCACGGCACTAAATCTACTGTGTATTGAAAGAAAGATTTTTTTTTTTTTAAATATAAACTCACCAGCATGGGCTGATTTGTTCTGGTGTCACTAACTTGAAAGAAAAAGTGCATTGCATTGAGTAAGCACACCCTCCTATATTTTGATATACTTTTTATATTTCAATACATCTTATTTTATTGACGTTGATCTCTGTGCTGCTCGAGCTAAGCGGCGGGGAAGGGGAAAAAAAAAAGTGACGCGCATGATTGCAAACTGGCTCACTCGCCGACGATGACAGCAATAAATAGTAGTCATCGTTATTTCAGTCGCTAACATCTTAAACTGACAAGTGAACTATTTTTTATTTGTGATGGGAGGGGAAAAAAAAAAACAAGCGTTGTACTCCACGACCTCAAGCGTCTGTTCACAATGTTTTGGCCCAAAGAGAGCCGTACGTGCAGATGGACCGATATTCACCTTCTAAATAATCCCACTAGATGACATAAACAACTTCCTGCGCAGGCAGACCAGCAGCAGCTGCAATCAGTGTAGTTAAACTGGTTAGTTTACTTAAGATGGAGTGGGAGGAAATTCTGTCAGTAATGCAGAACCGAGCGTAAAGCAAACAGGAAGGAACGTCTCCCCGTTCAGATATTGCACATTGTCAGGAAGGAGACTGCCAGCGGTCAGTACAGAGACAACGCAACAGGGCAGGCGAAATGAAGACACTTTCATAGTCAACTGTATCTACTGAAACAGCGACGACGCATCCGATCGGTAGTGTTGACGTCAAGAATAGTAATCCATCTAACCATCCGTCCGTGCATTTTCCGATCCGCTTTATCCTCACAAGGGTCGCGGGGGGGCGCTGGGGCCTATCCCAGCCGTCTTCGGGCAGTAGGCGGGGGACACCCTGAACTGGTTGCCAGCCAATCGCGGCGCACATTCACACCAATTTAGAGCGTTCAATCGGCCTGCCATGCATGTTTTTGGAATGTGGGAGGAAACCGGAATACCCGGAGAAAAGCCAAGCAGGCACGAGGAGAACATGCAAATTCCACACAAGAAGGCCGGAGCTGAAATTGAATCCAGGAATCTCTGCACGTTGAGGTCGACGCGCTAACCTCTTGACCACCAGGCCTCCGTAATCCATCGATTTCGTCCAGTTTCATAGTAGAGACGAGTGAGTCGAGTATTAGGCAGATTCAGCATCAGGATTTTAAAGAACAAACCACATTTAAAAAAAAAAATGCAAGCAAAATGCTTTGACGCCGCAGATTAAAAAAGATAACATCTGGCACCAGAGGATTAAAATGTCTCGTAATATGCATTACTATTGTTACTGCTGTAATTGTAAATGACCTGAAGGAAAAAGTTGAGTTTTTACCCCCCGCCCCCCCATACTGATGATTACGTTAGCATAAAACGTTCCCTTGCTTTTTGTCTCGTGTGTGATGACGTTAGCTCTTTGGGGCTACGGTTGGAGCCTTGTCAGTCTGTTCCAGGGTTCCTCTGACTCTTGCTCTTTATCTGTCAAGTGTTTTGCTTTAATTTTGGGTGTCTACCTGGCTCGTCTTGAAGTGAACTTTGGGTGACGACGGGGGGAAAACACAAGCCAAAGACCTGAAGAAATCCAAAGGTGAACTGAGAGCGCCAAGGAAATATGGAAACAATATGCGGCACGTGTTACGTGTCAGTCCGCACAAACGTCTCACTTTCATATCATTTTGCTGAAAATAAATCAGTGGATCCTCCAATTTTTTTGCAACGATACGCAGCTGTAGGAACCGGCAGCGACTGACGGACGCCGATGCCAGTCCCCTCCCCAACGCAGTCGCCGCCACACATGTCATTCCCCCGTGACCGTGCGTGAAATGTGTTGTCAATCTCTTGTTGGAGGGAGTCAGGAAGTTGACAGGAAGGCTCCGCACGGCGCACGGCTTCGTGCAGGCCAGTCTATGACATCGCAAAAATCTACATTGTTAACTCATTCACTCCCAAAGACGTTTTTAAACGTCTTTTCAGACTTGGTCTAGAATTGGCCGGTACTGAATGAGTTTTAAGAAGTACAGTTTAGGCAGCTGCATGTGTCAAGCGTTCATTTTCCAACAAATATCTTCGGCTGAACGGTTGAATGGAGAATCTTGGCCCTGAGATTAAAAAATACGGGCATCGTCTATCGTGCTTATAATTATCTTCAACTATTTGTGCGTTCAATATGGGGATGTTATATCATCTGGCATGAGTTAGACTTGACTTGGAACCTCTCAACATTGTAAATGTAACATTTTCTGACTGAAAATAGATTTGTTTAATAGAAAGGTAAACCTCACATCGGACGCCAGCCTTGTAAAGTCTGCGCGTGTAAGGGAAGAGTTTATTTATTTCCGCGTATTCTCAGCTCAAAGTCTCGAGCTCCGAACGAATGACTGAAATCTGGAATGATGTGCTCATTAAACGCGCAAGCCTGTTTCCATTAACTCAGAACCCTGGTGATGAAGAGCGCTTTATTTTGCTATTTATGAAGAAATAAATGACACAATAGTAATCTTTGGACTCAAAAGAACTCCATGTAAGGACATTTTATCTCGCGGGGAAGCAGATTGAAAGCACCTGGTGGTAAGTGCACCAGACAGACGCTCTCAAGGCAGTCGGTGGAGATTTCCATTGCCGCTTATTGGAACAAAAAAATAAATAAATCAACGCCTGTCATGACTTTGCACATTTTGCCCAAATTTTCAACCTCAACAAACCTTTTTGTATGTAGATAATGTATCGAGGTCCATCATCTCGGTCTCTTAAACATTAAAAACTGTAGAAAGTGTTGAAAAATAAACGCAAGAATGCTGGTTGCCTTTTCTCGCGAATGCTTTTCTTTCAGCATTAATGAAACCACGTCACCAATAGTTTTAGCGCTTGTCTTTGCATTAAACCAGCAAATAAAGACAATCGCGCGCGCATACGGGAGTTATGAATCACGGTGATCTTCAATGTTTTGCATGCACGTGTCCCTCACACATGTCAAAAAGGTGTCCCCGGAGCAGTCCAGACAGGACGTCTGCTCCTTAACTGGAAAGCACTGCGAGTCCCGGCATTAAGTGTTCTGTCTTTGCAGTGACAGAAGACCCATAAAACAGCATCCAGTGGCATGTGTTACTCAAGTCCTTTTCATAAAGCGCCGCTTTCCGGCAGTGCACGCCCAATTCATGTGCCCGACGACACCGGGCGCACGCCACCGGCGCGATACTTCCATTAATTTTTACGGACAGCAATAACAACTCGAAGCACTTTTTGGGGGGGATTTATCTTCTGCGTCGTAAAGACGGAGGGAGTTTCGTCATAAAAAAGTCGGCATTTGGTAAACATGTCAGAAAGAGAGGTCAATCAAAAGAGTTTTTATAGTAGCGGAGGTCTGTCGGGAAACGCGGACCGGAGCGCAATAATCGCATGATATAGTGTGTCTATCGCAGCCGACGGAGCAATTTGTTCGCAAGGGACGGCTGCTCTTCAAGCGTGGATGGGTCTTGCTGAACTTATGGGAGCCTCTGGCAGTCAAAGAAGAATCACCAAAACATTCCGTACATGGAGGAACTCGAGCCAGATCCCCCAGATTGCATCATCACTGGCATAACGACACATATGTTGTCATTCAAGTGATAAAGTCGGAAGGGCTGCCATTACGCATCACGCGGCCGTCACTCTACGGTCAACGTTTTCACAAACAAAAACAAAACGAGAAGAGCGGATTTGTTTGTGTTTGTTAGTCAGCAGACGAGTTCCTGTTTCAGGGTATGATGAACTCACGGACGATGATAGCGTGATGATTCTCTGCGATGGGCAATTTTTTTTACACCTCCAGTAACTCAAACGGTGAAACCCGCATGAATACTTTGACCCGAGGTTTCTCCGAAACTGAGATGCCTCAAGATTATGCTTTGGCGATACTCACTTCAGTCTGCTCTTTTTACAAAATGCACGCGTTGGGTTTAAGTCTGGGGATAGACTGGGCCATGAACTTGTTTGTTTTGGCTGTGCGCGTTGCGTCATTGGCTTGTTGCACGTTGAAGGGTTCCGCCAAATAAGTTTGTTGCATTGCTCATTAAACTGGCAGACAAAATGTTTTTGGATTAATGAGCCCCCGCCATCCCTGAAGACGCCGTGCTCGCTCGCTCGCTCGCACATTGTTGGTTAAGCTTCAGTTTGGTGTCATTAATCCATAAAACCTTTCGGGCTTGTCTCTGTATTTTAAATTCCAGTGAGGTTTTCCAGTTCCTATTGGTTAGGAGTGATTTGCATCTCTTTTTCATGTGGAATCGGTACTTTTCCTCATGTTCACGTCCTTCACTTTTGGAGGTTGTTGCTCATATCATGAACCGGTGGAAAAACTTCTTTTGTCGGCTGTTCTCTTTGGTCTCCACGTTTGACGTCTGTTTGACTTACTCCACAAGCCGTGTCTTGATTGTCCGGGACATTCCGAATGATTCTATTAGCTATGGCTTTGATTGATTTTCCATCTTCTCCGAGCCACACAATGGCTTGTTCTGCCACACACAAGTCTCTTGTTTGAATGCTAGTGAGACCTCTTGTCGAAATATCATCAGCCCAAGCAAAATCCAAATATGATCACCATCTCAAATGGTGTTCGGGGAGTAGCGTCTTCAACATTCGCACCGGTCCCTTTCGGGGTCTTGCCAGTTCATTCCCTGACTCATGTTGTGCAGCTCAGCCATGTTTTTCAGGCCCCGGAGCGTCGAGCTCGGCGTTCTTGGAGGCCGACTCGCAGGCCAGCTGTAATGGAGTCACATCACAGCGGCCCATTTCCAAAGCTTGGCAGTAAAAAAGAGCCATCAAAGCACAAAACACACACATTGAGTTCCAGCAAGAGTTCCAGCATCTCTGATAAACCCCAACTGGCTCTTTGCCGTCCGCAGCTTTCACCCCTGGAAAGCAAAACCAAATGTTCTGCGGGGACAGAACATTTTGGACAGAAGACATCTTTTCGGGATGATTCATCTGCTCCTCACTTTTCGAACCTGGCAGCTCCAATCCGCCTTGCTACATGTCAATATCAGTAAGGAACACTTCAATCTTCTAGGATCTATTTGTATGATACGAGTTGAGCAAGGATAAGGCGCAAGCAACCTTATTGGATCAAAATCGTTTCTCCTGAACATGACCATGATGATGAACAGTTTTGATTGGCACAATGCTGCAAACGACAAGCACAATAATAATAATAATACGGCTCGATGAGTGCCTCTCGCAATGCCGAACCAAACTGAGCATTTTCTTTGTCAAGGCAGAATCGAATTGTATCTCATCGCGTTCTGTACGTAGCATTTATGTGGCCGTGTGTCTAATTGCATTGAATGACTTAGATGCAACGTGTTCATTCGCATCTGCAGCTGATGCAACGGCAATACATCATTTTGGTCGGGATCCACGGAAAACAGAGCCACCATTGTAAATGGAAATTGGTAATGGCCATAATGGATTTAAATGAGTCACTGGAGCTCATTCTAAACCAGGCGTTTTTTATCAAGATGGGCCAATTATGCGGCTTTACATCCGTCTTTAATGGTTGACTCTGTTTCACGCTTTAATGGCTGCAAAATGTTATGCACAAGTCCTACAACAAGGTGTCTGCTGCTGGCTCCAGGGTGTACTCCCAATTCTCGCCCAAGAACAGGTTCCAGCCCAGACCTTTATGAGGAGAAGTGGTATAGAATATGGATATTTTATTTTCTTTTTTTGTGCGCACGGTTTGTCAAGACAGAGATTTAAAAAAAGAAAATGACAACCAAATTCTTCAAACCTAGCACGATACTTCTGACTGACAAAGTGTTAGAGTTCGACAACTATCGTCCTCATCTGCACCTTCAAAGTTCACCAGGTCACCCTCTGGCCCAAAACTCCACCTTCCTCACATGCGAGAGAGGAAAATTCCCGCCGGTGTGAGATATTGCAGCGAGGAGGCCCACTGTGTGAAAGAGGAGCTCTTACGTTTCTCATACGGTACCCGGCAAACATTCACTCATCGAAGGATTACCGCTGATTCGTCAAAGTCAGACTTGGCCCAGCAGAGAATCATCTGCTACCCAAAAGTATTCCATTTTCGTCAATACAAGATCAGACTGCAGAGTGCCAACCACGTAACCGCCAAGGGCGAACAAGACGGAACAGAAGGACTCGAGATGACAGCAAATGGATGAGCTTTATAATTGAGGAATGTTGACGGACAGAAAACGACATACAGTAATAATTTGTACCACAGCCCCGTCAGAGAGGCAAGGTTCTCATGAAACAAAATGCTTCTTAAATCTTCCGTGACAAAGTCTGCGTGCCCAAAACTGGATGTCCTTATGGGAATCCAAAATATGGGAATCATTAAAATAATAGATTAAGAGTCTTGAATATGTTAATACCTCTCACAGTACCTCTCGTCCATGTCAGCGCCTCCCACCAAGAGATCCATTTGACGAATGAAGAAGCATACGTCCTTGGATCAGTTCTTTACAGAATGCCAGGCATCTTTACTCTCTTCTTTGTTTTTTACATTATGCACAACTCTCATTTATTGTGCAATAATGTAATTGCAACATGTATTTGTTACATATTTTGATGCATTTTTATGCTTTAGAAAACATTTATGTCTGAATTTGGGGGGGGGGGCTTGGAACGAATTAGGGCATTTACATGGAAAACGCGTCTCGACTTACAAAATTTTCTAGTTAAGAAATTTCTTCCGGAACCAATTCATTTCGTAAGTAGAGGTACCACTGTATATAGTTTCTGAAGGTTAAACGATCAAGTTGCCCGAGTTCTTTCGAAACCCGGGCGGCTGAAAATGGAAAATATATTGGAAAGTAAAACCAGTAAACATTTTGAGGAACTCGAGATACTGTTTAGTCAGTCACTTTTCTCTCAAGCACAACATGTCTGTCAAAATAGAGATTTAATACCATCAGTCTGAACTGTATCTCTGACGCATGTTCCCATTGTGCATACTAACGATACAATATTTACAGCTCAACGTCAAGCCACCCGCCCTCATCTGTTCCAAGATTCTTCTCTCGACCGTGTGAAGTTGAGGGCCTGCCCGAGATGTCTGTCATCCCCTGACGGCAAGAGAACTGATCAAAGGCCAAACCATCATTCACATAGCGCCCTTTATACTTTGAGAAACACTTGACTTTCACCAGATGCCAAGGATTTGCCAGGGATTTGCCCGCAACACGTAGGAGGGTTCCCACCATGTGAGCGCATGCTTGGCCTTCTGCTCCCAGCTTTTGTTACCGGGCAGCGCAAAAGTACTCACTGTAACTGCAACTCCAATACTAAAATCAAAGAAAAAAGGCTGACAGACTCTCAAATGTACTTCAGTTCATAAGTAAAAGTGGCAAAAAGAGACACAAGATTTGAGACACGGATCAGTTCATAAAAGAAACTCTTTAAGCTAGGTTTAAGACCTAGCTAGCATTGACTTTTATGCTAACATGTACCCATAGCATTGCTAACGGTGCTCACACAAAAAAATGCTACATTTCCAAATAAAAAAAAAAGAAAAATACCCATTACTTGTGTTTTTAAATTAGACAAATAATTTTTAAAGCTACATTAAATACGTTTGCCATGAATCTCAACATGCAGATCTGTCTTCAAATGTAGGCCGTCGATGTAATTCTTCGTCAGAAAAACAATACAGATGCCAGAAGAATTGATTTAATTATAGTCATGAAGTCACCAAACCACCACACTTACTTTGAGACGAATGTGTACTTATTTTGACATCCTGTTTTATGATGAATTAACTGCTCCTGGCAAATGCCCCCGAAAGCGTCACATTCTCAGTTCTGAACAATGAGATGGCGAAAGTCACCCCCGTTCCAGGATGTGTTTTTCTTTTTTAAAAGATTGTATTCCTCTGAAAGCTCTGTAATTGTCCGCACATTGATATTGTTCTTACGATGTATTTCAACACTACTAGTCTTTTTCGAAGGTCGCGCTAATGAAATTTATAAACAGGAAAAGTGCAAAGCTTTTTGTTCAGCACACGATGACATGTATAAAGGTTGCTCATATTTTCCAAACTCTCAAAGGGAACTCAATTCTTAAAACATGGAAAATTGAACCAATAGAAGTCAAGTCAGTACCCTCAGTTGTCATCAATTTACGAAACCAAACTTCCTCTTAATTTCTGCGTTTGCAAGACGCTTACGAACTGCTCTTAAAAAAAGCTCTACAAGTCGATGATCAAGCTCAAGATGTTTAGTCTTTTGGGCACGAAAGCAAAGCGACCCCCCTCCCCACCACCACCCCACACCCTCTGCTGACACGTGCCTCTATCCTGACCCAGCTCGTCAGCGAGCACGCTGCGAGCAGTGTTTTACGATGAAAACTCCAGCGCCGAGTTTCCCAACACCTGTACAATAAATCTTGCCTCTACACCGGGCATTACATAACCCCGCAGCGCTTTGCTAAAACCAAACACACAAACAAAAGCGGAGGCCCGAAACAGGGGCAGCGGGGTCAAGGGTCAACTCATCATTGCCATGCATAGGCGGCACTGCCGTATGAAACTCCAGATGATGTCGATTAACCTCTGATGACATCACAGATATTTTTTTCAGTATAATATGATGGTTTGAAAAAAAAACTGGACTAAATGACAAAGGAATGGCTCACACAGAACATTTATGTCGAATGACATGGGCTGGATATTTCCATTTTGAGAAAAAAATGTCTCACGTGGTGTGCTTGTCACTGGGACAGGCGACTTTTGGTCAAATTGGGAAACCTGATCTGGTTTTTGGCCCACCGCAGCAGCCGGTTCTGCATAGTGGGCATTTGCGGTGTTTGCAAGGAATTCCGGCCATCTTAGTGTGCGGTCAAATGATTGCCAACCCTCCTGCCACTTTGAAAGTTGTTCAAAATCCTGTGGAAGCCTGACTTTTTTTTTTTCACTTCACTTCCCAAAGTAGCGTATTCAGAAATAGAACAACACAATTAAAATCAATTAAGTTCAACTTCATTCAGCTTTGTTGCTTTAGTGGCTCTTTCGGTGTGATCAAATTTGGCAGCGATAACTGAATTCTGCGCGAATAAATCAAAACAAATTAACACTTAGCTGAAAGTTTTATTGTATGTTTACAGGAAAACATTTTTTTATTTGTGTATTTGTTTTTTTACCCAGAATCAAAAGTACATCGTTTTCACTTTGAGATGTAGACATAAATACTATGTGCCCTTCAAATGAAAAGGAGTGCCAAGCCTTTTGTTGCCTCGCTTATTTTGCAGCAAAAAACTTGACAAGAAAACATTAAGAAAAAAAATAATAATGGTGGTACGTTGGTGATGTGAACCCATAAAATCATAACCTCATCCGAAGACGATGGGTTTCTAATCACCGGAAACATGGTTTGATGTTTTTCTTCTTTTGTTTTTCTTTGGTTCAATTCTGCTGAGACGCCGAGCGAATTCCATAAAACGTGATGTTTTAGAAAATCCCCTTCTGCAAAGCCAAGGCTTGATGCAACCGTATTGCACAGAGAGATTCAGCGAGAGGATGACTTGGATGCAGCTCAGGAGCAGCACCCAAGATCTCCTCTTTCTTCATCATCCGTTCTTTTTGCTTGTAATGACACACACAATCTTGGAACACCTGCTCATTACGACTATAGGAGGTGGAAATCCCCTTGGCCGCCATAAAAGCTTCTATTTTCTTGGAAAGATGTCCTACGAGCTTTTGGAGTGTGCCTGTGGGAATTTCTGTCCATACGTCAAGCGGAACGTTTGTTACATCAAATAGTCAGTGATGAATATATTACAAAGCCAATTCCAATGAAGTTGGGATGTTGTGTTAAACAAAAAGAAAAAAAAAAAAGAATGCAAAGATTTGCCAATCATTAGCGACCAAAATTTAATTCAATCCACTACAAATACAACATATTTCATGTGCAAACTGATCAACTTGATTGTTTTTAGCAAATAATGATTACTTCGGAATTTTGTGGCTGTGACACATCCCCAAAAAAGCTGGGTCAGGGTCATCAACAGTACTGGGGTCTCCATTGTTATGTCATAAGTCCACACATTTTCAATGGGAGACAGGTCTGGACTGCAGGCAGGCCAATCTGGTAGCTGCACTCTTACTACGGAGCCTCGCAGTGCAGAATGTGGTTTGTCATTGTCTAGCTGAAATAAAGAGACGTTGCTTGGATGGCAGCATATGTTTCTCCAAAGCCTGTATACACCGTTCAGCATTCACGGTGCCTTCACAGATGTGTACGTTACCCACGCCATTGGCACCAACAACCCCATACCATCACAGATGCAATCCAATACAACACAATTTTACATCAACACATCTTTATTGATACGGCGCTTTTCACAACAGCTGTGAACGGTCCGGATGGTTCTTTTCCTCTTTGGCCCGCAGGATGCAACACGTCTACAATTTCCCAAACCAATTTGAAAATGTGGATTCGTCAAACCACAGAACATTTTTCCACTTTGCATCAGTCCCATCTTAGATGAGCCCCAGAGAAGCTGGCGGCGTTTCCGGGTGTTGTTGATAAATGGCTTTTGGAGTTTTAAGTTGCACATACGGATGTAGCGCCGAACCGTATTGACTGACATTGGTTTTCTGAAGTGTTCCTGAGCCTTTGTGGTCATATCCTTGACGTCGGTTTTTAGATGCGGTGCCGCCGGAGGGATTGAAGGTCACGGGCATTCAATGTTGGTTTTCCACCTTGCCGTTTACATTTCTCCCAGATTCTCTGAACCTTTTGATATTATGGATTGTAGATGATGGAATCCCCAAAATCCTTGCAATTGTATGCTGAGGCACATTGTCCTTCAACTGTTTGACTATTTTCTCACGCAGTTGTTCACAAAGAGGTGAACCTCGCCCGATCTTTGCTTGCGATTGACTGAGCGATTCAGGGAAGCTCCTTTTCTACCCACTCATGGCACCCACCTCCTCCCAGTTAGCCTGTCCACCTGTGGGAGGTTCCAAACAGGTGTTTGATGAGCATTCCACCACCTTCTTTTTTTTCCCCACCTCTCTCAGCTTTTTTTTTTGGAACGTGTCGCAGCCATAAAATTGTTAAATATTATTTGCTCAAAAAAACCCAGTTTATCAGGTTGGACATGACATATCTTGTCTTTGTAGTGTACTTGATTGACTAAATATAGGCTGAACGTGATTTGTTGCTCATGGTCTTCTATTTTTAGTCATGTGGAACACAATGTCCCAACTTTCATTGGAAGGGGATTTGTAATAGTAAAACAACTTCTAATCATCGGTATCGTCACAGAAGAGGGACAAAAGTATACGAAGCATAACAAATAGACTGAAATATTTCCCCGAGTGGCTACGTCCATTTTATGAAAATGTACCTCCTACGAAAGAGTGAGAGTTTGAGATGCTCCGATGGAATTTGTGACCTCATTTCTATTTTACAGCCAACTGATTTATTTATTTTTTGGGCTTTTTTTGTTGCTGTGCAAACAGTATGCAGACCGTAATGGATTTTGTGTTCTGGATGCCCTCATATGTGAATCGTGTGAAATGCTCACATTTCCATTTAGTTTATGTCTGCCGACGGCATGGTGTATATCGTGGTCCGCAGAGATCTTCACGTGATTTATGTTGCCATATGGAAACACTTCATCCATGCTGCTGCTCATTTTTCTTTGACTAACAATTACCGTCAATTATAAAAGGGACATTGTCTCATGGTTCGTATGAATCGCATGAGTGACAAAGAACAGTTTTGTATTTTATTTATTTATTTATTTTTTAATACGATGAAAATTTCATCAAAGTGGTCGCCTGGGGAAAAAGGTGAAAAGATCACAAGAAGACGACAACGCCGCCTGGATCAGGCATTGATTTTGTTTGATGAAAACAACTCTTGACTCTTTCAACTCCTTTTCACACATGCGTTTTTACACCGCTTGCCAAATGGTAATTTTTATAATCATATTCATGTATTTTCTTTTACACCACAAAAATCCTTCATTCCGACCGGGTTGCACAACTTCAATGCTTTTGCTACACAGCGGATTTGCCTTCAAACAAACTGGTCAGCATTACAAAATGATTCACAACATTCAGCAGCTGTGAACAATATTTTGTGCTCAATAAAACTGCATTTCATTACAAATGCAAATTTGTCTGGGAATTGAAATGAATAACTGAATGGACCTCATCGTATTGAAAGAATAAATTACTGACCGCAAATTATTGCTCAACATTTGGAGGGGTGGGGGTGGGGGGATGAATGAAATTGTAGGCCTTGACACAAATCCCACAAATCAACCAAGAAGTCTTCTCGCTCAGTGACAAGAGTGGGGCAGAATACGACATTCAAAACAACTCTCAGTGCAGTTATCTCCCATCGCAAAACACAATAATAAACATCTTGCTTCCAGTTGCCCACCAAGATTACTTCACTCAACTCAAATTGGACAAAATCCAGCATAGCAGTAAACTGTCACCATATAATATTCACAATGTTTAGATCTTATAGTTAGCCTGAGATAACGGAGGTGCTTAGTTAATTCTGATTTGGGACTACACTACGGTTTTGATTATTTTTGACATCACCTTGTATTTTATGGCTTTTATAGGTGCAACAGTATAAGTGTTGATATTTATGTTTTTCTTTTAAATCTTTTCAAATTGGGGGGAATATTTTCTGAAAGATCACTCCCGATTTGGGGTCACGTATGCCGGATGGCACAAAGGAATCAAACAGAGATTTTCACCGGTGTACCTAATGTTGGCCAATTGAAAAAAAAAACAAACAGCAGATATCAAAAGCTGTTTTCTGTGCTCACATGAGTAACACAATTTATCTGAACTTGAAAATGAGATGAGAAGAGGTTCGTGTTGACCTAAAACTTACGATTCGTGGATACAAGAATCAAATGAGTCCTCCTGTGCCGTTGCATCGTGTGGCTTAACTCACACAGTCCGGGTATGAATCCATCATGTCGGCGTGGACTTCCAGCTGTGAGACAGCTGCTGGTGAAAATATGGCCGTCAGGTGGGAGTATCTTTGCGAAGACTCTGCAGAAGACGCCTCTGGAAAGAATCATCGCTTGACTCTGGTATCAGAAATCCCAGCAGCAAGTCGCAGATACAGTAAACGAGATGCCTGAACACAGTCATATCAACATGAGAGACAATGAAGAAATACAACTTTCACGTACTTTTAAATGCGCCACCTGAAGAGATTCCGTCTATTGCTGTTGTCCATGAAAATGTTTTTTTTTCCTCATCATCGCCATTGATTCGTTGACTATATCAAGTTTCCTATATTTGCTTTCATACGAGTCATCTTTATTCAGACGTTTTGGAACGAATTAGTCCCAAAATCGGAGGTTCCACTGTATATGGAAAAAAAGCATTTCACGGCACCATCGAGTCAGAAAGCAATGAAATGCTTGACGACTCACTTGTTAATGTGGTGGTCCTGTAAAGACTCCAGCACGGTTTCCAAGCTCAGTCTGTACTTATCGCTGCCTAACATGTCTGTGACGAGCTCTGCGGCCACACAAACGTCAACACAAACCAGACAGAATAGGTCAAACTAAACATGTCAGGAATTTGGTGAGCTGCAATGTGCATCTCAAAGCCGCAGCAAACCCGGAAGTAGCTGCAGGAGACATTCCAGGCATCGTTCCTTGGTCTCCTCTCTCTCTGCGGCGCTGCGCTCCGGCTGCGGTTGGGCGGGCAGAGTGCCTCCGGGCCACACGGCCTCCTGCAGCACTTGGAGGTAAATGACCCAACAGGGGGCGCTGGTCAGGTGGGCCACTCCCACATCCATCCACCTGGGGTAAGAATCAGTTGGACACCGGAGTCACGTTTGCGGGATATCTGCTTAAAATTCCAGGTGCGACACCGTTAAGCCGTGCGTGCAAAGTGATGCAACACAAGCAAGCGTGTTTACGAAGGTTAAAACACAACAGCAGCTTGAATTACTTAAGTGACCCACTCAGCAAGTCGGTGACGTTAATGACAGCAGAACACTGGAGCCGAAACAAAGGCGGTTCCCAGACACATTGTGGTAAAACAAGGCCAGTGTTAATCATAGACATGCCTTGGTTGAAATCTGAATTTCCAATTTGGCATTCACATTGTATTTTGGAAAAAAACAAAACAAAAAAAAAAACAAAACAATGCCTCGAAAGTTATCTTTTAATTCTCCTTACTGCCGAAAAGGCCCAAAGGAGGTTCATCTGTGGAAAGAAAACATTCAAGTTTTTGCAATGTTAGTCGCAACATTGTACAGTTTATAATAAAGAAAAATAGCACTGCAGGGTTGGACATTAACGGTGGCCCGATGGTCTGTGGCCAGTTCGCCACTGAGTCAGGCCAGTAAGAATGCCCAAGTCACAGCCAACAACAATGGCCCAAAAGAAATTTTTTGTGTTGTTGTTTTTGTTTCGGATTGATCAATCCAGTGGAAGCAAGATGTTGTGATGACGCAAGACAAAAAAAAAAAAAACATGCTTGACCGGATAAAGAGGCATGAATGACGGGTGTGCAAAGGGAGGAGCCACTGGGGCAGGAGATGATTAGAACAATAAATATTTGTGACGCATAAAAAACATTTGTGTTGATGCCTTTAGCTTTCATACAATGAATTGATCCATCCGTCCGTTTTCTAATCACACAATTAATTGATGGAATAAAAAATAAAACGCTTCGGTATGAATGCAGTCAGTGAAAGCTGCTATCCATTAGCAAAAAAAATAAATAAAAATGCACGTTGTTTAAATGGGAACAGAAGAGTTATGGAAGATTTAAGTCCAACCTCTCAATAAAAGTGCCAAAGATTAGTCTGATGGCCTTCTGGATGTTCTCGGTGCACAGCCAACTCCACTGGTCCTTCATCAACAAACACAAAATGTTCAGCGCAACATCGGCAACAGCTGTGTCTGAAAGCAAAATAAAAATAATTGAAACTTTAATTAAATATATACACGGCAGGACACAGCGACACTTTTGTAAGTGGTGCTTGAAAGCAAATGCAAAATGTGGGGTTGTGCTGCTCTCAAGTGACACGACACTGCAGTACAAAAGACAAGTGCGGATGTTGGAAAATGAACCGTTCATAGGAAGTGCAGCGGACTCGTGGGTGAGACGAGGCACGCCGTACCTGCACCTTGAGTTTTCCCAGAAGACTTGCTGTCCGCGGCTAAGGACTCCCTCCGCTTGGCTTGCTCTCTGCTTTGGGGCTCACATAAAAGTCTTTCCTGCTCCAGGACAAAGCTCTCCAGTCTGGATAAGGACATGCAATTCAGCACCTAGAACGAATTGGGAGAAATGTGGACACGTGTGTTTCCAGTCCCGATGCATTCACAGAATGACCTACATGTGATTCGACACCGTAGGAGAACTTACAGGGCTGCCTTCGCTAAAGCAGTACGTCACTTTGGGATGTAAGTCGGCCATATTGAGAGATGGAGAGACTTTGCTTGGGAACATGAGCCTCCTGATGCAGAGGAATCGAAAAGCAAACTTTTTTTTATTTTTTAACCCGAGAAAAATGGGAAGATTATTGAACAAGAAACACACACAAAGTAGACAAATTCTTCTGCGGAGCTGGATAGAAATGATCAGAAATGTTTCGCGAACCACATGAAGTAGGGCAAAGTCTCACCTGTACTTTCTGCTGTCCAGTGTCCTCCCATCAGAGTCTCCCTCGAGGTCCTCTGTTGGACTCATGGCTTCGGGGTGAGGGAAGGCTGTCTTCAGTGTGTCCAAAGCATTTTCCATCATCTGTCGCAGCAGTCGTGATGGACAAAACCCCATTTTAGAAATAAAGGAATACATATGGCGATCATAAGTACACCACCACAAACCAAAACCGCCATTCAACACAAATGAATACCATCTAACGCTGAGTATGAATATTTTGCAATGGCATGTTTTTTTCTTCACAAGAATCTGGTCCACAGTCCACAAAACCCCTTTGTCACCTTATCAATTCTTGACTTGACAAAAGGCCTTTTTCCAAAATATGTGCAAACCCCCGAGTTTAGAGACAGGAACTCCTGCATATCCTCGCTCTTCGCCGTCTCAGGTATGCTGTTCAGTTGCTACAAAACAAAGACATTCAATGAGAGCGGCACGGATATGCCAGATGCCGATCCTAAGCCGCTGCTGGTCCCAAACCTGGATAATAATTTGTGGGCTGTGCCAGGAAAGGCACAAAGGGGAATTTGTGTCTTAAAAAATTTGGGGTGAGGACAGTATTATTTTTAATTGATGATCTCGTAACCCAATTCTTGGTCGTCCGTACCTATCAAGAGAGGTAGTTTCAACCGCTTGTTGGAGCTACATCTTGACCCAACTTGCTGGATCAAATCCTCAACCCAAGGCACTGGGTATGAATAACCTAGCATGGGCTCAATCCCTTTTGAACCCAGTGCCGCTTCACCCAATTTGCATTACTTTTAACACAACAGTGTTAAGAGTGTACCTTAAGGAACGTGTCCAGTTGGCCTTTACGAGCTTCCACCTTATCGCCATCCGTGTTTCCAAAGGGAAGGTCAGGGAACATTTTCTTTGGACCTTTTACATCTGTAACACCGGACAGTTGCTGGGAATAGTCTCGAAATGTGTCAAGATATTCGAAACAACAGCAACAAAACCAGTTTCCGTCATGGCTCACTCTTCACAAACTTCTTCACTTCCGGGTTCTCCTCTAAACGTGTCTGCAAGTTGAGGAACTCGCTGTATCTGCGGTTCACTGAGTGACAGGTCGCAGGTTGCAAAAGGTCACCGCTTTCGGGGCATGTTGCTGTCTCAAACTGCCAAAAGACAAAATGGCGCGTTTTGTGGAAGACAAATAAATATTCACATTTGAGGTCAAAGGTAACTGGATCTGTATTGTTACCGTGATAGTGTAGAGAGTATAAGGATGCGTCCCAGTGCCACGCTGCTCCTTTGCACTGACCGTTCCCGCAATTTGCACATTTTGGATGCCCACCGATGATTTGTTTGGAGGGTCAAAGTTTAAGGGGTTCAGGCAAAGCCTGCTTGATGGACCTGCCGGGGTTCTTTCTTGAGCAATATCTGCAGGCCAGTGTGAATCGACAGGCACCACCACCTTCGGCGGCCCGAGATTTTTCAACGGGCCAAAGCAGCCAAAATCATCAGCGTCATCCTTTAAGTTCATCGTGTTGCAGAAGTTGGCCGAGGGGCCGCATTCACACAAGCGTCTGCTGTTGTCATCTTCCGTGTCGGACTGCGTCAGGGAGTCCAGTGACAGCATCTTGGACTCTGCGAGGTGCGAGTAGCGGCCAGATGTGAGGGAACAACAGTTGACTTCACACGGTGTGAGCAGACCAGCCCGGCAATCCGCAGCTTTCCCGGAACAAGTCTCGAGGCTCAGCACGCTGCACTGAGAGGAATCCTCCTCACTCATTGGGCTGAACAGTTCAGAGCGGCTCTCGCTTTCGACGCTGGCTTGATCCAAAGATGACAGGCAGGTGATCCACGAGTCATGGAGGGCGCACCTGTACAGCGCGCCGTCCTGTGGTTTTCGGGACCTGGTGAAGACGTCGACAATGGTTTGATTGAGCCAGTCAGAATCAGAAACCCTGCTGATGAGCGGCAGAAGCACGTTGCAGGTGATAAGTTCGGTGACCATGTACCCCCCGGTCCGGGTTTCCATCTGAGGGTACGGGACAAGCACATGTAGGACGAGGTTAACCAGAGCTCTGGCGTAGCTTAGCTCGGTGGCCGCATCTCTCACAGCTGGATGAGGGCTGTCTACTTGCTGGTAAAGCTGCCAAAGGCTAACGCTCTCTCCCCGCGTCTCCAGCTGCATGTGTCTGGCTGTCATGTAGCTCTGCAGGTGGCAGCCATACAGCTCTAAAAGTCGTTGGACCAGAGCTTTTCTGTCGACTCGCCTCGCACGCTCCTTCAGCTCCATCACCGACTCCAGCATGGAACTGCGCACCGCGCGCTCAAATTCACCTTCCACCTCGGGCAGAAGGGTGCGATACCAGGAAGACACAAAATCCCGCACCGCTTTGTGGACGGCGCTGTGGATCTCGTGATTGAGTCTCCACTCATGTTCAGCTGAACACTGAGGCAGAGTCACGGCGGCGAGGGGCAAGAAATGCTCCAAGTGGAGGAGACTGTTGGCATCCAGAATGGCGCGCGAGCCAAGCCAACCTCCCAAAACAACCAGGAGACTAGTGAAGATGCAGAGGAGCCAGACGTTCACCAAGAGATGGAAGAGGACCAACCAGGCCAGCAGAGCGCCAAGGCCTAACAGTCGTCTCCGCTGGCCCAGAATTTCTGACAGGCGCCACTTACTAGAACTCTGGAATGAAGGCATTCTAGCCAGCAGATGAGACGTTGCCTGCTAAGAAAATACATTTTCTATTAGTTTTCGTAAAACTTCAACTGCAGGATTCATGAATGACTTTCAGTACAGGTCAGAAAGGTAGCATAGTGATGCTTTAAACAGCTTAAATTACATTACATTACCATGATAACAAGACCTACTGTTGCCACGACAACATCAATCACATCATGAAAGACAGCGCTTGCCATGTTTACTATTTTTCCTCACAGAAAATGGTCCATAATGCATCACTTTTTAATTTATAAACCATACAAACCTGAAGCTCAAGGTTAATGACAATGTGGTGAAGGCAGTTGTCGCTTTTAGATGTGAATATCCTTCCTTTTAACGAGACAGACGTAGCCTTCAATTTGGTACCACTGGTGCAAACTGATAAACCTTAACAAAAGTAGGGGGGGATAGGCACCTGAATGGCTAGAGCTTCATGTCTGGAACGCAGGCAATCCTCCTTGTGTTTTAATCCTCCAACAAAGATTACGAGGATCAGCCTGCAACTCGGTTTAGGTGTCCACTTTACCTGCCAGAGTATAATTCTTCTTCTTATACATTCTTTACAAAACAAAACAAAAACAGCATGAATGTGCTTTTCCAGAATATAATGATCGTGAGACCAACCACAGCATACTGAGATTTTTTTTCAGTTTTGGCTTTAAATACGACACCTATACTAATGCAGCACGTACCTGTTCTCTATTTTCACCGTTTGGAAGAGGCCACAGATCAAGCATGGACATTTTCAAGAGCCCTGTAATACTCATTGCAGTAATTTAGACGTTTTCCTCTCAGATTATTTGTAACTGAATTTATAATGATAATTGGTCTACCTATATATCAATTAATAATGGGGAAACACCCTAATATATTCGTCAAATATATATTTTTTAATGTCGTTTGCATACTGTTGACAGACATGACAGAAATAATCTACCGGCAGCTCCATAACAGGATGAGCCTATCCCGTTGATCGTAGTTTATTCAACAGTACCCTCTAGTGGACATGATTTTAACTGCAGTCCCAGTGTAGGATTTAAATAAAAGCAATTGTCAGAATGAACGATTTCGCCACTTATATGGAGGCCAAACAGTTCCGAAAAGGTTCGGTAAATAAGAATTACGAAGCAAAATTGACAGGCACTGAGCAGCTAACAGTGTACACGTGTTTCAACAGAATCAACCGACCACTTTATTCGGTACACTTACAAACAAATACAGTACACCGTTGGGAAGGACTCCACTTTACCTGTCACGTGGACATGTAGAATATCCTGCAGGATAAACCGCATTAAAAGTAGATATATTTTATTTATTTTACACATATTTTGGTTAGTTCATGTAAACGACTTAATTTTAATCGTGAAATGATTAAACGATGTAAAAAATATACCTGACACTCTTGTGTTTTAGATGACGTTATCGTGAAAAAAATAAATAAACACAATGAATGTGACAAAACGAGTCTATTTGGTCGCATACCAGGAATATAATGTAAGCATCAACTTGTGGTTGTCATACCAAGCCTGATAGGTAATGGTGATGACGTAAAAGAGGATGACATTATTTAACAACGCTGCAACATGGGAAGTGGCACCACAGCACTCACATCTGACTGGCACACATCAACCAGACCAAGGGCGACGGTGCATTCTTTGGTCAGCCACTATGAACATATACCCATTCAACAATACAGGTAAGACACTTCCATTGTGCGATGTCATTGCAATATCATACTTTGACCATAGTATGATCCGAATCCCTCAGTCATCATGAAATTGTAGCAGAATAATAAATATTTGACGTTTTATGCTAACATTTGCATATGTATCGGTACTGCTACAATGAAAAGTCTCCTAAAATTTCTTTTAATATTTTCACTTTTGTTTCAGACTTTCATCATACAGTATGCGTACTTGCACATTCTCAAGCGTAACATGTTTTACTATATTAATGAATACACCTTTCAGAAATCTGAAATATATTTAGCCCATAGCTTGCAAAGTGAAAGTCCACCATGTGCTCATTCAATATGAGCACTATCAAAACGTGTCCACCTTGTCATTGTCTGTCAACAGGCTGACATATTTACAGGAGCAATTTATATGCACATTATTTGCTTCTAGTTCATCTATACAAAAAATTTGCTTGACCAATATGCATTTCTAATGTATATAGTGAATATAAAGTTCTGTGGAAAACCAACATTCTTTTATGTGTGAAATGGAAAGGTGTCAAAGTCACCTTATGACTTTTGAATTGTGTGACGGGCCAGTGATGATGGTTCTTTCTCATCACGAGGAGACGCTAAATGGCCATTTGTGCAAAAATATAATCTAAAACTCCAATTACCTGCATTTTTGTCTCGCACTGCACCACAGCTGCGTCCTGATAACACAAAAACCGGTTTGATTGCATTAAATCATGACTCCAAACAAGAACAAGAGGAACTTTTCCGGATTGTGTATGGTTGACAATGGATATCAGTTTCTCAGACATGGACGTGATTTTGACTCCTCCCACATATTATACACACGTTCATCCTTCATAAGACAGTAATGGTGTTGACGTGCCATTTGTGCGTGCAGAAAACAAAAATGATATGAAGGCAGGTGCCTCGGCAGGACTTGGGAAGGGTTTGGAGACCATCGCTCCTCTGGTCAGCTCTGTCGAAGAGACCCCTGATCCAATCCCTGCTGAGATACACGGGACCATTCCCCGCTGGATCAATGGCAGCTTGCTCCGAAACGGCCCGGCAAAGTTTGAATTTGGAGACACCCAGTGAGTTCAATCCAAACCGCATAAAAATCATTTTAAATGGATTTAGACTGCAGGTCCAAGTGCCCAATTCAGATTTAAACCAAACTGCGATATTTTTTTGTGTGTGTCTATACATATGTACATTCCAAGTGACATTTTATCCCATATGACTGTCTTCACATTAATGAAACTACGGAGCCCTTAATGAGACATGGAAGAAAAAATAATTTGAATTAATGTAATTTTTCTCTTAAACAAGCCACAAAGACCAATCGTGCCATTTCAGGGAAAAAAAAAAATCTGAATTGTGTTACCTGAACCAAGCAATGTAAATCCAGCATTAGATTACATTTCAGTTCAAGGGCCCACACCTTCAAGAAAGCCTTTCCTCCTTGACAGCTACAACCACTGGTTTGATGGGATGGCCATGCTCCACAAGTTCAAGATGGAGAAAGGCCAGGTGACGTACACCAGTCGCTTCCTGCGCAGCGACGCCTTCAAGAAAAATAGCGAGAAGGACCGTATCATGGTGTCAGAAATTGGTACTGTCAACATGTCCGACCCTTGTAAAAACATCTTCCAGCGATTCTTCTCTCACTTTGAAATGATAAGTAAGTATTAATCGATCAAAATAACATTGAACGAATCTTGATGAAAACTCAACATTCTGTGCCTTTGCAAACATTCAAAAGCATTCGCCCGTCAGTGAGATACCGCTTGAATACGTGCCTCTGGCGTTTCGATTGTATTCATTGATTCAGTGAAAAGGTTGTAAGTCAACACAGCTAAGCAGCAGACATGGCGACTCGCCGCAACAGCTGACACATTATTTTGCATGAGTGTTTCGTTCTCCATGAGTGATACAGAAGATTTTTAAATGCAACTGAATTAAATCCACTTCACTGAAATATATGTTTGCAAAATTATAGTCATGACTTAATATTTGAAGTTGTAATGAATAAACATTAGGTTTATTCAATGAAAGATATTCTATAGAATCGTCTTTCATTAATTTTTTTCGACTGAAAATGGGAGGTGAATGGGTGTAAGTTTTCCTCTTACATTATTTCAGTTTTTTTTAAGGTAACCGGTTTACTAGTATTTTCCAAGTACTGTAAACTCAACTAATCCGGATTTACAGTGTAGCGTGACTGCGCCTCAGGTGCCGGAAAAGCGTGCTTGGATTAGTTTAGTCAAACATATTTATCAGGGAACAGAGCAGGAAGATACCGATGCACACCACTGCACAACATTTAACTGTAAGAAACGTGGTCACACTGAGTATTTGTCTGCTGCAGAGCCAACAGACAACGGCAACGTCAACATTGTGAAATACAAGGGCGACTACTATCTCAGCACGGAAACCAACTTAATGCACAGAGTGAACCCAGAGAACCTTGAAACACTGGAACAGGTAGAAGTATACATGGTATAAGAAAAACAAAATCATGATGAAAAATGTAGATCGCGCAGAAAAAAACAAATGCTGAAAGGACCAAGTTGTTGTCTTGTGAATAATGGCCCTGCAAAATCTACAGTCTCAAAATCTCAATCTGGGACGAGGCTGTGACTACAATGTGAGCAGGTGTGATGTGATACTTTTGTGAAGTTTTTTTTTTTTTTACAAATCTTCTCAAGGTCTTCTGATACACAAGTAGCTTGAGGTGGGCTTGAGGTTTCCGGTCGACGTGGAGCCAACACTGCATCAGAAACAGTCGGAACAACAACTTGAGACCCCACGCTGAAATGTGTATTATGATTGCAACCTTGTAGGTTGACTGGAGCGCGTTTGTTGCTGTCAACGCAGCTTCTGCCCACCCTCACTACGATCCGGATGGTACCAGCTTCAATATGGGCAACTCCTATGGAAGAAAAGGTACATCCTTTGCATTCTGTTCGTTGCCAACTTACTCCTTACAGCAAAAGTCTCCTCATGTTGTGTCAAATCAGCACTTAGAGCAAGACTTTCTTCAACTCTTGTCTTATGACAAAACATACACGGATAAGATATTTTAACTCTCAACCTTTCCCCAGCCACAGGCTCGGAAGTAGCAAACTGCTGAGAGCCTCCACACTTGGCTCTCCATTTCCCGTCAAGACCACAACACTGTTTTTAGAAGAGTTCTGACCTTTTCTGGGACTGTAACTGCTATGTCACGAGGGACGGGCGGTGTGGGTGGCCCAGGGATCGGTGGGGTCAGAGACTGCTCGTTGGCGGTATAGAGGGTTCTGTCCTTTTAGCAATTACCCACAATGCACTACCAGCGGCCATATTGGAGGGCTGTTATAAACAAGCCATACACGTGGCTTGGAGCCCTCTCCATATATTTTTTTCCTGTCACCTGATTTGTTATACATGTTGTGTTAATTTAGTAAAATGAAAGGTCATACATAAAGGACGGATAGCTCAGTAACTAGGTAGCTAGCTAGCTAGGTAGCTAGCTAGCTAGCTAGATAGATTGAACATCATGGCCTTTTTCAGGAGGGAGCCACATACAACATACCGTACCTCCTGCGAAGTTGCAC